AGAAGGAAGCATAACTTTTATTTTCTTTTAAAAAAAGGGGAAGACAATCTTGTAAAGCAGCAGCTGTATATTTATTCTGACCCAATGGAAAGCACAGAAATACAGAGAGCTGAGGGTTAGAGGGACGATATGCAATTTTTTGACATAAGTATTTATAAGTTTGACTAGAGTTCGTTTTACACTTAGACTTGGTAAATGGCTAAATGAATGTCTGCTAATGCTTTCTTTTCATTTCTGTGATGATGCTCTTCTTGATCTCCAGCAGTTGAACTTTTCTTTTTACATTTTCTTTTTTTTCCTGAAGACTGAGTGCCTTTTGGCTTTGTTCAGAAGCTTTGCAAATAGCCAGGGGACAACAGCATTCCAGTGTGACCGTGAGCGTAGCTGATATATCTGTTTCTTATGATTACGTGTTGGGTCTGGCTTGCTGCTTCTAAGGGAAAGCCAAAGTGTCATGTACAGCAAATGCCTCCTGGTGGTCTTGATCTTGCAAATCTTTGCACCATTGCCAAGTGTGCTTGGGTTGCCATTGCATCTAGGGACAGAGAAACCCAAGAGCCAGGCAACAATCCTCACCCTCAAGTCCAATTATTATTATCCCTACACATCCTAATCTTCACCCAGGGAGGGAAAACCTTGTTCCTATGTAGGGTTTTCTCCAAGAAGGGTCAAACCTGCAGGCCAGGCATGGCACAGCTAGTGCTGATGCTGTTGAAACACGTTGGGACTATTGCTCATACTTGCACCCAGTGCAGAGCAGTTACCAGCATCCAAGCTTATCAGACACCTAGAAATCCACAAAAGATACGGAAAATCTTTGAATCAACAGAGAGAAAAATCATTCAGGACAACTGACATGCAGTTAGCCTATTACAGGGAATTTTAAAAAGAGGACGAAAACCGAAAGGGAGATAGAGAACCAGTCATAGAGGACTGGTGATATGTAAGGAGGCAGACAGTGATTTTTAGGAGCTATATGAAGGTGAGCTACTCCTGGCATGCCAAAGCCACCAGTGCAGAACTGGTATTAACACTCATCCCAAAAATATTAACACTTGCTGGTCAAGCTGCCTCTTGTTTTGCATTCCCCCATCCCTGTCATCTCATGGGGGGCTGTGCGAAGAATTTGAAATTTCTAACCTGTCTTATAGACAACTTGAAAATTTTGGATGAACAAAATGTGGCTGAAACTTGGGGAAAACTTTTGGGGAGGTTGTTTGAGGCAGAACTATGATTTTGCAATCAAAAGACAGGGCAGCTTTGGCTACCAGCCTTCCTGGTTCAGTGGTACAGACGGCAGCAATTAGAATACTCATTAAAAATTGTATGAAGAGAAGTGGAAATAGAAATTACTGTATTTCAGTGGGAACAGAGCATAGGAAGTCAATAAAGACCTTGGGGAAGATGTCTTTTTTTTTTTTATATTAGGAATAAAATAAATCACAGTGATTTACAGTTCTATTTCTAGATTGAGGTGATAAAATTATTAACACTGCTGCTATAAGGCAAATGTATTTAATAAATATTTCTGTTCTCAGTATGTGAAGGAACAGGATAGTAAATTATATCACAAGAGGAAGACGGATCAGCAGTCCATTTATTACCAAAGAATGTTAATATAATGAAGATGTTAAATAATATCTTTCAAGAATACACATTCTTAAATCAACAGGTCCAGTCTCATTCAAGAGCTTTAAAACTGGAGGAATTCTGTGGCCCACAAATATTAATTTCAGAGTACATGGGAAATTACGGAGGGCTGTAGAAATTCTGATATTATGTCAGGTTCCAGATAGGTAAAGGAAAAAAATATTTGCTGCTTAGTCCGTTATCAACCACAGGTCAAAAGGGAAAACTGGAAGAATTTAAATGTTACAGATGACTGAATCCATAATTACTAACCATAAGAATATACTGAATGACAGGATAGAAATTTTATGGAATAAAAGACAGAAAACTTTAGTTCATTTTCTAAGAAAATGGTAAGATTTTTTGGTAAAGTTAATTCTATAAAACGTATGATAGCGTGATGACTAACTGGGGGTCACCTGCCAAGATCTCCTGACAACTAGCAGACATGGAATGTACTAACTCAGAAGGTAAATTGTTAGTGGGGAACCATTTTCATACCTACTTGGATACCACTGCACATCATCGATGATCTGAAAGTAAAGGGAGAACCACCACAGATCACATTTTGTGAATGCCATTCAAACCAAAGGCAGATTTACACAGCTGAGAAGAAAGCTGGGCAGGGAGCAATTAGGAGTGATCATGAAAAGGATCAGAAGTCAGTGTGGCCCGAGGATGCCCACCTGATGCCTCAGTGTAACAAAGAGGCAAAAAGAGGTGGTATAGTTTTTTACTGTGAAAAGCAAGAGGCAGAGTGTGGGGATAAGCTAGTTTTGCCTCTCTAGGCAGCACCAAGAACAGTGAAGGAGCAGAAGAATTGGGAGGTCTGGTTTTCCAATTTCAGAAGGATCACTGGGCTGTGGGAGAGGATGCACTGCTCCATGAATTGAAGATGATTCCTTGCAGCGGGACTCTTAAAAACATTATCAACCAGTCTGAATGAGGGCTGGGATTTGATTTTACCTGTAAGTACTTTCACAGAAAATGTGGTTTTCTACACCTCTCTGCTGTGCAAGGCAGGAGGGTGCAAAGGGAACCACTGTCTGAAAGCTCATCCTTGACAAGTTAAGATTGGAAATAAAGCAGAAATTGTGAACTGTAAGAGAGATTAGCTGTTGAGAAAGATGATCATAGAAAATGGTAGAGTGATGTCCCCAAGTCACGTAATTGATTGTCTGCCTTTCTGGGGGGTATGCAGCAGTCAAACACGGATGACTTGACTTCCTCCAGTTTTTCAACAGTGTGATGTGCACAGACCACCAGGCGATATGATCTAATGGTCCCTTCAGTCTGAAAATTAATACCATTTTGAGTATTATCCCAATTTCAGCATAGCATGTTTTGTATTAAGAACATTTCATTTTTCTAGAAGTCTCAGATGTATCTCAGAATCACAGCCAGATTATTTTCTGTTGTTTTGCATGAAGCAAGCTGAAATTCATGCTGTTTTATTACAGGGTATTCAGTATAATTTGTAAAAGCACTATATAGGGAGCTTAACAGAAATACATTTGTATATAGAAAAG